GGCCCCTTCGGCTGTGGCTCTCAACAGCCTTCTTTACTCATTAATAAATTCATTTATACTAACTGAAAAGCCTGTGTTGCCCTCTGTATCCTCTTCTAGTCTTGCCCCTCTTTGGTGGGGCCATAGCTTCATCCCACTCTCCACCCTCTAATTTGTAGAAAGAGTGGTTTTCTTAAGAGACTCCGGGAAGCAGCAGCAATAGGGCAAAGGGGGAAAAATTGTCTCCTTTGTTTAGCACATGTCACTGAGCACCTCTTCAGTGCTGGGCACTGCGCATGGAGAGATAAGTAAGACAGTCTCTGCCCACCAAGGTTCAGTTGAGCTGAGAGGACAGTTCCAGTAAAATAAGATACTATGGTCTGGGAGCATACATGAAGGAATAATAGACTCTTGTCTACAGCAAATGGGAAAGATTTGTCATTTGAGATGGATTTTGAAGGATGAGTAGCTAATGGAGGAAAGAATTGATGAGAGAAGGGCTTCCAAACAGCAGAAACAGTGCCCAAAAGGCAAGGGGCAGTGAAGTTGAAGAGGTGGCAGGATCTGCACTGAGGTCTGGGCCATGAGCCGGAGCCTCCTGATGTCCAGTATAATGTGTCCCTTCCTCTAGCGGTAATAGCTCTGTTATGCATGAGTGGCTACCTGATCTGGAGAAACTGGAAGCGGAAGAACACCAAGAGCATGAATTTTGACAACCCAGTGTACAGGAAAACAACAGAAGAAGAAGATGAAGACGAGCTCCATATAGGGAGGACTGCTCAGATTGGCCATGTCTATCCTGCAGTAAGTATTCCTTGCTGGGCGAGTTTCTTCCTTCCATCCTCCCTTCCTTCCTTTTCCCCACATCTTCCTTCCTTTCTCCTTCCTTAACATTTATCAAGAACCCACCATGTACCAAGCACTGGGGAATACAGATATCCTGAGGTAGGTTGTTAGGGTAGCAGGGTAGCAGGACCACCTTGTACCTAGAGTCTCTTCCTGGCAGTAAAGAAGCCAGAGGTCTTTCTTTCTGCTGAGGAGTTTTCAGCATGTTTGGGATAGAAGGGCAACTATGGCCATTTAATGTGAATGTATTCATTTCAACAACACTGTATGCCAGTTATATGCCAAGCACCACATTAGACATTGAGTGTTCAAAAGTAATTAAGAAATGCAGTTGCTCCTAAGGAGCTGCTGGGAGAGTTAGAGATGCTAATGTACATTCGTACAACTGTGTACTACATGCCATGGTGGAAGCTTAGGAGTTCTTTATTCTAGGAAGCTTTCCTTGGCTTGCTTTGTTCTCCCATGGTCACATGGGCCTCTCTCCATCCCAGCACCTGTCACACTACAGTCCATTTGTCTTTTAATTAGTGGTCCCCTCTAGAGTGTGAGATCCTTGAGGGCAGGATCTGACATGATTAATTTGTTTTCCTGGTGCCTAGCATAGCATAGCTGGCTTCCAATAAGTATTTATTGAACAAATGCTATGGAAACATCAATGAGGGAGCTATTTATTCTGTCTGGGGAATTGGGAAAGGAATGCCTCAGAGAAGGTAACAGATAAACTGTATCTTTGAAAGATGAATAGCAATTTTCCAGGTAGAGAAGGAGGGAAATGGCATTCTAGAGAGAGCATGTGCAAAGGCTTAAAGGCACAAGAGAGCATGACTTGTTGGGGAAGCAAAACCACAAAGTGGTTGGAGCAGGTATCATTGTTGTACAGCAGAGTCAGGGGGCTGAGTGTGACCTCAGAGGTCATCCAGTACATCCCCCTGTCAGGCAATCAGCAGCTTTGATCGCCCACTGTGGGCAGAGCCCTGTCTTGGGGAGACCAGAGAACTGGAAGACCCAGCCCCTGCCCTCAAGGAGCTTTTTGTCTTGCCGGGGGAACCAAGGTCACAGCTGCACCAACTCCCGAAGAACCCTCTTTCCGAGCTGCCTGTCGTCAAGTGCAAGGTAGGGCAGTGCCACTCTGAGCCTGAGGGACTGGTGAGTGAGGGCCTGAACCTAGGCAGGTACAGCCAATCTAGAAGGCTTTCTGGTCTGGAAGGCTGCAAACTGTAAGCTGGGTGGGGCAAAGAGGAAACCTGGGTTAGTGGCAGACCAAGGAAATGGCATGTGCAGAACATGACTGAGTACGGAGCAAACAGAACTTTTTCTGAAGCAAACTGTTCATAAAGGGGAGACATGAGAAAGGAAGTTGAACAAATGAGAAGGGTGAGCAGATGGCCTTGAGGATCCTTAACCTCGGCCAGTCCGAGTAAACAGTTGCTTAACAATTTTTAAAGATCAAAAGGAGCACAGTGCCAGAAGCATTGAACTTTTGGTAAAAAGATGTCTCCCAGTTCCACCATTCTGTAGCCCAATGATCTTAGTCACTTCTCTCTACTTACTTTTATTTGTAAAACAAGAATAACCCTCCTGAACTTAGAAAGTTTAAACAAGATAGCACTTTGTAAATTACAAAGCACTCTGCATGTGGCATTATTTCCAGAAAAGGAAATGACTTAGGGGGAGTTACTCCTGAGAAGTCTAATGCCCAAGTCTGCCAGTTACAGAGAAACAGAGTTAACAGAATGAGGAAATTGGATTTAGTGAGCACCTACTATGTGTCAGACACTGTTTTCAGTGTTTCACATACATTTTCTTTTATAATCTTTAAAATTATGTTATAGAGTTGATATTATTAGCCCCATTTTGCAGATGAGAAAACTGGAGACTCATAGAAATTGAATAAATTGTCTAAGATCAAAGCCAGGAAGTGGCAGAACCAGGATTCAAACTCCAGTCTTTATTTACATAAAGGCCCATGCTCTTTCAATTTTATCATGGGGTAAATAACTTTAAAGCTCTTACAATCAAAAAAGAAAAAAGCTCTGTAAATCAGTATTCTAAACCTGTCTTCTCCAATCCCTTTCTCAGGTAGTTCTGCCATCACTATGAGGACCTGTCTTGGCCTTAGAGATCTGTCTTGACTAGAGTGAGAGGGTGGCGGGACTAGAGTAAGATGGTCTCAAAGGTCTGTTAGTGGAGCATGGCATTCACAGAAAACCACAAATAAGCCAAAGATGACTTGAAAGGCAGTGGAATTGCTTTTTATCACATGTAGAATGTTCAGAGATGGAAGATACTTACACTGGTTAGGCTGATCTAGAATTCTCCAGATCCCATGTGTATGAAGTCCTATATTAAACACTAGGCATGAATTATTTCATTTGGTTCCACATCAGCCCTATAAGGTAGGTCCTTTTATTTCCATTTGACAGATAAAGTCCCAGAAAAGTTAAGTGGCCAGCTTAAACTCACATAGCTATGAGAAAATGAAACTAGGGTCTGTCCAAAGGAGGAAATGGAAGAATAACAAACATGATTATATCAGGACCAGTTGTGGAAAGCTAGATGTGTATCCTAGAGACAAAAAAAAACAGAATAAAGGGAAGGAATTCACACATTATCTATAAATTTCAAAGAAAAAACTGGAGACTCATAGAAAGTGAATAACTTGTCCAAGATCATAGCCAGGAAGTGGCAGAACCAGAATTCTACCAGGATTGTCCTGTATAGAACTCAGTTTTTGAGTCTAAGGCATAGAATCAGGGAATCACATACGATATAAAGACACAACTTTCACATCAGTATAGGAAAGAATTTAAATCCACTGTCCACAAGGGGTTACTGGCTGAAGGGTTAGTGGGCTCACCATCTAGTGGTTAGCATTTGTGGCAGAGGGGAGTCTATATCCTGTGACTGGAAAGCAGGGATAAGGAAGACAGGGACTGAATTTAATGACTTGCACTTCCTTCCAATTCTGTTTAGTCAGTTGGGAGGGTGCAGCATGTTACAAACTAATTGTGATTAGCATTCTGGAGACAAGTCACTAAAAGTCTAGGATTTAATGTTTTACAGATCTAATCCACTTAAGTTGACCCAACCTTGAATCATGGAAGGGAAGAAAGTTTAGATCTCTGCCACCCTGCTTTACAGAGACAGAATAGAATGATGAAAATAGTGACAGCTCTGGACTTACTCAGACCTGGTATCAAACTTAGTTCAGCCACTTGCTACGTGATCCAGATCAAACAGTACATAAGCTCATGGAGTCTGTTTTCTCAACTGCAAAATATGACAAATCTTGTCTCAGCATAGTTTAAAGATTATGTGAGCTAATACCCATAAAGTAATAATATGACTGGTACTTTGTAGATAATAAATAGTAGCTCTTATGGATCTAATGATGATTTCTTTGGTCTATCTCCCCAGCGAGTGGCATTAAGCCTTGAAGATGATGGACTGCCCTGAGGATGGGACCACCCCTTCGTGCCTCATGGAGCTCGGTCCCATGCACTACTCTCTCTGGATGGTGTATGATTGGATGAATGGATTTCTACATATGGTCTGTGTGAGTGAGTGTGTGGATGTGTAACTTTTTTTAATTTATGTTGCAGAAAGGTAACCACAAAGTTATGATGAACTGCAAACATCCAAAGGATGTGAGAGTTTTTATATGTATAATGTTTTATACACTTTTTAACTCGTTGCACTACCCATGAGGAATTCATGGAATGGCTACTGCTGAGTGACTAACCTGCTGTACATAACCAAACAGGGGCCGATGGTACAGTACCTTACTCATCATTTAAATACTATATTTACAGAGGATGTTTGATTTGGGGGGATTTTTGGGGTTTGGGGGTTTTGTTTTTTTGTAAATACAATAATGCTTTGTGGCTATCCATCAACATAAGTAAAAAAGACCAAACACTTCAACTCCCTCCCCCATTTAGATTATTTATTAACATATTTCAAAAATGACATTAGTTCCATAAAACATTTAGAGAAGTGAAAGTATTTATTTTTGGTATGACTGGCCCACCACACAGACTCTGTGTATGTGTTTATGTATGTGTGAGAAAGAAATCTGCAGAGAAGAGACACACCTCTAGTTATTGTTCAAATACATAAAAATAGATTTATTTTAAAATAGTCCACAAGAGGGGTATCTGTAGTTTTCAGAGAAACCTTTGGAAATTTGGCTCAGAAAACAGATACCAAGTTTTGTACAAATATGTGGTGTGAAGAGACAGATCTTTTTACCTCTGGCTATTCCTGAGACCCTAACAAACCAGGAAAAGCCTTTCAGCTCATCTGGGGCTTCTTGTCTGTGGCTAAGGTCAGTGTACAGATATTATACATAGTGCCAGAAGTGTTCATGAGTTCAAGAAAGAACATGCCTAAACCTCAGCAAGTCCTTGTTAAGTTCAGCTCTTTGAGTAATGTCTTCAGTTTCCTTCAGGACACTGGGGTTGAATTCAGTAAGCTTCCTCTGAAGCACCCTGAAGGCTGCCATCCTAACTTATTTAGTTAAGTGGAGACATTTTCAGAACAGCCCATGTTTACTATAGAGACTCACTCAGGCACTGAACTCTGAGACATGCTGTGGGTGAGGATAACGGTGGTGGAATAAGTTTTATTACATCTCTGTTTGTTCTTTCCCTTCACTTTCTACTATTTTCTTTAGGTGGGAAAACAGTTTAAAGAAATAAGTAGGTTTCTTACCATCATTTGGGCATAGAGATGAAACTAAATTTTGGCTTAAATCAGAAAAACTTGAAGTGGTTAAACCTGAAGTCATATTTGAGGGGAAGTGGCATATAAAAAAGTACAACATATTGGCTATGTATGTTCACACAGGGATTTGGTTTACTGGTTTGTAAATAAAAGGAAATACTCTGGTTATATGTATAGATCTTTTTTTCATTATGGACACCTCCTTCCTGCTTGCTTTTCCTGGGCCTTGGGGCAGGTGGAGAGAAGTACTGTTTTTTATCTGTGGGATCTACCATCAGAAACAATCCTACAGTCACAGAAGGAATTCAGTCACCACTGGCTTTCTCATCCAAAGTATGGTCTTTCCTTCACTCTGCTGTTCCGCCACTTCACTCCCTCTCCACAACCAGGGACACATACAACATGGAAGTGTTTGGCTTATGTGGGAGCAGAGGACATGTATCTAACCTTAACATACCTGGAACCTGACACTCTGAAGCAAATGTCTCCCCACTCCCACTCTCCAGATGCCCCCAACTCAGAGAAGCTTAGATGTCTCATGAACTTGATGCCCTTTAAAATCTCCAGGCAGACAATCTACAGTTCTATGATCCTGATCCTAGGACTTTGCTCTACTAATGGTCTCCTAATCTTGTTTTCTTAAACAACTGTTCCAGAGCTTGGACATTGTTTTACAACTTCCTCATGATGTACTTGTGTTGATGGTCCTGAGAAATTCAGCTATGAGAATAACCTACAAGAAACAAATGGAGAGTCCTGTGTTGGATCATGAAATCTGAGGAGTCAAATCCACTTTCCTCCTATTTTTGGAGGCTTTTGGGCCTTATTTTGAGGTGCAGTTACAATTCTGCTGCCTTTTGTTCCTGTGTATATTTATCAACAGCCAATAACAGATCACAGACTCGTTGGATGATAGAGCTGAAGAAAGCTTATAGGTAATGCCAAAAGGGCAAAAATTTCATCAAGACAATATTTCCTTTATTTAAAGAAGCCAGTCCAGTCCTTTTCCTCCCTTTCCTTCTCCAGGAGACATCTTGAAGCTATTTAAACACCGTATCAAACGTGCTTTCTATCTGTAGCTATCTTTCTAGTGGATTTACCAAGACACTGGCAGAAATGGCCTTCTAGAAACAGGGAAAACAAAAACTTTATTTAATATTTATTCTTGATAGCATGATTATATATAAAACAGACTAAAATAACCTCAACTGGCAAAAAGAGAATAAGATGGGATTTAAATATATGGCAATAAATACTACTGATCCCTTCAGTTATCTCTATGTGACTGCAGCATATTCATCCCCTAAAATCATTCACTAGTTGCCAACTGTATGCCAGGTACTGCAGATGTAAAGGTCAATCAAATATTTTCTGTCTTTGTGAAGCTCAGCAGCAGCAGAGGGAGACATGTAGAAACAAAAAGGGAAGAGATTTCAATTTAGAGTACCATTAGGGACAAGGAGAGAGGGGTCATTCTACCTGAGGAGATGAAGAATGATGCATTCATAGGAGAAGTGACCTTAAGCTAAGTCTCAAAATTAAGAAGGAGCATCCAGACTGCTTCTGGCAGAGGAAACTGCAGAGACACAGAGGCATGAATCAGCATGGAGACTTTAAGGAACTGCACGTAGTTCATTGTAACTAGAATAAAAGACTCACCACGACTTAGCAAGAAATGAGGCTGGATGGAGTCAGGTTCAACATAAGCACTTTATAAAATACTTATATTTAATTTCTGATTTAATTAAACATTTCTTGGTCATTATTGTGAACAAGGCACTAAGTACACCATGGAAAATATAAGATGCATTGCCAGCACTTTGCAGACATGACATTATTCAGCCTCAAGTTTCCAGTGGCCAAAGGGAAATGTTGACTGCATTTCATAGACTTGAATTAGAGGTTTCTTAATATGGTTGATGAAAACTAATATAAAGGCAGTGTGATATTCATGGAAGCATGCCATGTTGTCAAGAGCCTCTTAGATTTTTCTCAACTGTGAGAAAACTAGAAGTTTTAAAGATGTGGAGTCTGGAGAGGAGATCCTAGTCAATGTATAGTCAGGCACTAGCGGGAATGGGGAGGGCCATTCGCATCCCACAGAAATAAAATCCACACCAAAACTGGCCATGCACTCGTCACAGAATATAAATGAGTTAGTAGTTAAAACATTTCAGAGAAAATTTCCTTTCCCATAAATGCATGAAGATAATATCAGAGTTTTCTCACACTATATTTTTAGGATATTGGGAAATTACAGGATATGAAGAATTTAGAAGGTGGAGGAATTATAGCTTCAAAATTTTCAGTTAATATAAAAAAAAATCAGGAAGCTCTTCATTCAGGCTATGCACCATGTGCACAGTCAAGAATCGGCAGAAACCCTCTGCATTTGCAAACACTTTGTGCTATAAAAATAATTTTAAAAAAGCCACCTGTATAAATATATATATATATATTTAAAGACACAGTTTTGATACTTTTTTACAAAAATTACAAAAAAATACCTGTACAAACCATGTGCTTTTAAAATAGCATTTTGTTCTATACTAATTGTCAATTTGAGGGTAAAGTACTGGTTTGCAAACTCCATCATCTTGTATCCAAGTGGATTTTCCTTGTTTGTCTCCTTCCAATCCCCAAATTACTGTATTTGATGTAACAGTCGGGCATGTTAGAATGTTTGGTCACACCAACTGTTTCTGCTCTTTTTGTCTTACCATTTCGAGTTTTGTTAGCTTCTGTACTCCATGCCCTCTACAATCTGGTTTCTCTTCCAGAGACAGAGGGAGTGAAGGTGTGTGCTGCATCTCCCTAGCTGTACTGACATCATCTTGGTGAACTGAAAACCAAATGTAGACATTTGTAAAATCAATACAATGTTTCTAGAGAGATTAAATTCATTTTTAAAAATCTTTTGAAGTATTGTCCATTGTGATGCTTTAATTGGTGGGGGGAATGAATTATCAGTAATTGAGTCCCTAATATGTCTCAGGTATTCTATATAAATCATCTCAATCTTGGCAACAACCCTATAAGATAAATACTATCAGGACTACCCATCCCTATTTTATAAATGAGGAAATGAGTGAAGTAATTGCCCAAAGTAACACAGTTATTTTTCACAGACCCAAAGAGCACGCCCACATGATTCTCTGCCTGGGTTTTATTTTTCTGACTATTTATCCCTGAGTACTCCACTTAGGTAATGCCTCCTCCAGGAAGCTTCTCTGTTTTCTCATTCTGTAACTCAACTCTGTGCTTCTATAATAATTTTTGCCTATTTGCATCCCAGTACTTCTATCCTGACACTTAACTCCTATGTCATTGAGATTATTTTCACCAAGTTGATCCAGGATCTCCTTCACTATAAATGTTGTAAATGCTTTCAGTTCTTAACTTCCTGGACCTGGAAGCCATATTTAACACAGTTGACCACTCCTTATTGGCAAACTCTTAAACACCATACTCATGGTTTTTCCCCAACCTCTCTGGCCATATCTTAGTCTTCTTTACTTACCTCTTAAATTAAACCCACCCATTTTTCTATTTTTGTCACTACCTGACTATGGGTCACCATTATCTTGTATTACCACCCTCATGGAATACTTTAACGACTATCCAAATTTCAACTTTAAGTTTTTCATTTTCCAATCTAACCTACAACATGGCAGCCAAAGTGATCTCTCTAAAAATACAATAGGTCATGTCACCACCATTATTTTCTACTTTCTTGATTAAAGCCCTTCAACTTCTTCCTTGGCATTAAAACCCAATATTCTTGGGTTAACCCAAACCCTTTAATAAGAGTAAGGGTCTTACTGGGTGCAGTGGTACATGCCTGTAATCCTAGCGGCTCAGGAGGCTGAGACAGGAGGAACATGAGTTCAAAGCTAGCCTCAGCAAAGACAAGGTGCTAAGCAATTCAGTGAATAAATACAAAAATGGACTTGGGATGTGACTCAGTGGTCAAGCGCCTCTGTACTTCCAGAGTATTCAATGCTTCCTCTATTGATTACCCTTATTCCTACCTTATGCCTTCTTGTGTGCTCAACTGCATTCTCTGCAAGCTCTATAAAGATCTGTTCTTTCACATCATATCCTCAGCACATGACACAGAGTAGACAAATAAATTATGCTGAATTCAGGCATTGCAGACATGCATGTCATGCTCATTCAGCTATTCAATGTTATCTCATGTCCAAACACCTGGATTACTTTACAGGCTAACTGGGTCAAGTGTCCTTTAAATTTTTTAGTACTTTTGTTATTTGCCATGTCGATAGATGCCTAGATTTGCCCATTAAGAGTTTTTATAATTTCATTGTAGGAAAATAACCATATGACAACTGGCCTAATTCCAACTATCACCTCAAGACTATTACAATGGGGTTGTGGCTCAGTGGCTGAGCACTTGCCTGGCATGTGTGAGGCACTGAGTTCGATCCTCAGCACCACATATAAATAAATTAAAAATAAAGGTATATCAACAATTTAAAATATTTTTAAAAAAGACTGATGATTCAAAGAACAAGCACATGTAAATGGGCTCAGCCTAGGAGCTGACATGTATTCAGTGCCAAATAACTAGTGGTTCCCCTCTCTTTTCATAAAATTCCCTTGTTACCACTCCTGTCCAGTGCTTTGTAATAAAAAATGCCTCATGATGGGCTGGGGATATAGCTCAGTTAGCAGAGTTCTTGTCTTGCATGCACAAGGCCCAGGGTTCAATCCCCAGCACCACAAACACAAAAAGCCTCATGACTATAGCAATTTACCGTTGGCAAAATATTTTCTAAAACATTCTTTCTTATCCTTATAATAGTGCTTCCAGGTACACAGTATTATTAGGTTCTTATTTTTTATACATTTATCATTTTGCTGTACTAAGGATCAAACCCAGAGCCTCCCACATGCTAGACCAAGCACTCTACCACTGAGCTACATTTCCAGTCCTATTATGCTCATTTTAAAGATAATGCAACTGAGTTTCAGAAAGTTGAACCTGTTCACCTATGGTTACAGTGACTCACTGTTAAGGAATTATTTTAACCTCAGTCTCCAGTGATTCCCTCAGCCTCTAAACCCACTCTACACTCTGCTACCAATGCTTCTTCAGGGAGAAAAGTGTAGTCTGGGAATAAGAATTTATTATGAATTTACAGGATTTACAGAATACTATACAATTAGAGTCTCCAGGTCCAAATAACGATGTCATCTTAGCACCATCTCTAGAACCATTCTCTCTATAGCTGGAACTTGGATGGCTAAAGCATGCTTCTGTAATTAGGATTTTCATGGCCCTTGAGCTACACAAACCTTAGCTGAGCCAGAAAACTTTCAGATGTCAACAACTCTCACCAGAAAAGATAGCCTGGACGCTGGTCACCTACCTTGACCTATCTAGGGAGCTCTACAAAAAAACAACTTCCAGATCCTCATTGGAGATATGAGTTTGGGATGGGTCCAGGAGTTTATATTTTTTAAAGGCGTCAATGGAACATGATTCCAACATGCAGCCTGGGCTGAGAATCCCTGAGAAATCAGGTATACCGTTTAACTTCCCCTTAAGGTACCTATTCTAGAGACCAGTGAAGCAGGGAGAGAGAGAAAAATAAAAGGGGGAAGAACAGGAATTAGTCTAGGCGAGTTAGTTCCAGGTAATCTGCACTGTGGATTCGGGGAAGGCGTCACTGAGAACGTTTTCTTAACAGAAGTTTGAAGACAATTTACACACACATCATCGTGAACGGCTTTCTCCTGGGAAGTCGGTCATTTTGCTCATTTTACTGTTGAGATAACCTAGATCCAGAGACAGTAAGGAATCTTCTCCGACTGATGAGTCTGTTTCCTTTAAAATGGCGGGTCCCAGGATCGAAGTCCCGGGCTCCCAGTCTTTAAATGAGGTCGCCAGTCCCTGAAGAAGAAGCACGACGACCGCCGGCAACTTCCACCTCATTCCCAAAACACACAGAGAAATGCCTCCACTTTACCGCCCCGGGGAGGAAAAGAGGGACAGGCTTTTCCCCACCTCCGGGGAGGAGGGACCCAGACATCGCGAGCGCGCCCTTTCCTTGACGTCACTTCCGCGCGCCACCGGAAACGTCATTATCGGCCGCCGACCGCGGCATTGTTCTTTACTTCTGAAGTTCGGTCTTAGTTCCATTTTGCTAGACATGGAGAGTGACTTTTATCTACGTTACTACGTGGGTCACAAAGGCAAGTTCGGCCACGAGTTCTTGGAGTTTGAATTCCGACCCGACGGTAAGAGCGGCTTCTCGCGCGCCCGGAGTGCAAGGCCCGGGGGCATCCCTGGGGTCCAGAATGGGCAGGGAACTAGAGGAAGGGACTGAGACCCGTGCAGACCAGGTCTGAAGGAACCCTCTTTCTCCGCTCTTAGGTTCTTTCTACCCATGTGCAGCGGCTTCTGTTTAGTGCTAGTTGTGACCGGTTTGCTTACATTTGCTGTGTTCCAATCTAGGAATACAGTACAGCAACGAGGATAGACAAACTAATCCTCTCGCGGAACTTCTGTTTCAACGCTGGGAGAGGGATCACAAAATGATCCCAGACAGTGACGATTGATCCTGAAAAGGCAAAATGTTGAAATAATTTCTGGTTGAGCTGCTTTAAGATAGGGTAGCCTTTAGAGCGCTCTCTGAAGAGTGGATATTGGAACTGAGCCCTGAGTGTCAAGAAGGAGCCAGCCTCGTGAAGCTCAGGAGGAAGAGCATTTTACAGAGGGAGTAGCAAATGTCAAGGGCAAGAACAAGCCAGGCATGTTTCAGATAGCCAGTGTGATGGTTGAGCAATAGTTGAGCTCTGAGGACAATAGTAGGAGATTATGTCGGATAGGTTGGGGTCACACCAAGTGTTTATAGACCATGGTAAAGAGTTTAGATTTCTGGCTGGGGATGTGGCTCAAGCGGTAGCAAGCTCACCTGGCATGCGTGCGGCCCAGGTTCGATCCTCAGCACCACATGCAGAGATGTTGTGTCCGCTGAAAACTAAAAAATAAATATTAAAAATTCTCTCTCTCTGTCTCTCACTCTTTAATAAAAAAGAGTTTAGATTTCTAAGTACAGCAGGACACAGTCGGAAATTTTGAAGCAAAGGAAAAATGTTATCTATTCCTGAAAAAGTATTCTAGCTATTGGGTGCAGAATGGGCAAGAGTGGAAATGGTCACTAATGAGGAAGTGTTGGTTGGGACTAGGGTACCAATTAATAGAAATGGAGAAGATTTGGGATAGTGTTGGGTACAGAACCAATTAGGCTTGACTGATAATATTTGGAAGGCACACTGGTGGAGGAAAGAGGAGTCAAAGATGATAGAAAATTTGAACTAAATGAGGGTACAAAGATGAATCTGACAAGCTTCAACTGTGAGGGAGATAGATTTGTAAACAAACAGTGACAGAATGGTGTATTAGGTGTTGTGGCATAAAGAAGCAAAGGAAACTTTGGAAGCAAAGAGGAGGCACCTAATCTAACTTGAGGGTCAGAGAAAACTTCCTGCATACTATGACTTGAGTTGGAAGGATGTGCAGAATTGTGTAGTAGTTGTGTTTTGGATGATTCACAGCAAAGAGGCTGAAAGCAAAAAAGTGCTTGAGATGTTTCAGGCAGAAACAACGTGTTTGACACCAGCTATGATTAAAGATTATGTAGGAGAGAGGTTACAAAGAAAGGCAGGGGTTCAGTTTAGTTGCTATAATGAGTTTGGTTTTGTCAGGAAGGCAGAAGGAAACCATTGATGGTATCAAAGTATTAGGTTAACCTAGCCATGTAGTTCTGTTCCTGCATCACATTGTCCATTGTAAGTAACATGAAATGAAACTTGAAGTAGAGAAAAAGTGAAAAGGCTTTTTATTTGGCTCTTCTTACCTGTGTCTTCCATAGTGGGGAAAATCATGTTTTCTGGTTTTTTTTCTATCTTCTCCTTCATCCCTGCCGTATCCCCCAAACTAGCCTGTTCACTCTTCATATGCACAGAGGGCCTTGTGTACCAAATGTGTTCAATGATAAAAGCACATTCTTTTCATCACAGAAATATCAGATTGTCACATGGTTGTATGATAATACATATAAACAGCATCCTACAGTTTTCAATGTGCCTTCACATATCCTCTGGCAGGTAAGTTATCAACTACAATCCTTATTTTCATCTGAGAATATTAATCTGCAGAACTGTGGTTTGTCTGAGTCACAAAACAGTCTGCTTTTGTTCTTTTACATAGGTAGTTGCCTTTTGCTTGAACCTGTAGTTCAGTGTTACCTGAATTTTTGGCTGGGAGGCTAGTAACCTGAAGTGACAAACTGAAAAGGCTAGTAGTGTTGAAACTCCAAGGTGTACATAGTAAATCTGACAGCCCCTTTGAAAAACAGTTAGGATACATTTTAGGCAACAGGTAATAGTCTCAGTAGACTAATAATGCTTTATTCATATGTTTTTACTGTTATATTGCATTTATTTTCTGCCTTTTACAGGTAAATTGAGGTATGCCAACAACAGTAATTACAAAAATGATGTCATGATCAGAAAAGAGGTATGAGCCTTTCATTTTCATTTCAGTCTGTCTTTCTGCCTTATATTGGTTTTGCTCTTTCTAGAAATAGTATTTAAAGTTAAGGACTAGGGAAGTAGATCTATATCTGTAAACAGCTTCTAGATTATGTCTTTTTATTTTATTTATGTATTTCAGGGTTTTTTTTAATAATTATGAATCAATTACTGATAGCTACTTGAAGCCTGGTATGCCTTGGTTGGATCCCTCAATCTGCTGCTTACTAACCTGTGTGACCTTGGATAAGTTTCCTGGCTGAACTTGATAAGTCTCTGTTTCTTCATATGCAGAAACAGGGATAATAAAATCATTGTCCCTTTCCAAGTACTGTCATAGAATTAAATATGTTATTCTTAAAGCAGTTGGTATATTCCTCGGCACATAGCACTCAATGAAGAGAGCTTTAATTTAATTTGCATCTGAAAGTGAAAAGGGAGCATGGAAAGCAATTAGCATCATTGAATATATGATAGATGCCATGCATGGCACCAGATGTAAAGATCATACATATGATCTTATTAACCCTGATTATAAGCCCATGTGATGGGAGGTATTATATCCTCTTTATAACAAAATGAAGGCCCAGATGGGGCCTGTTCACAGTCATCCTTGCTAGTAAGAGGTTAACAACTAGAATTCAGATCTGTGTATATATTATGCTTTGGATATGAGATGCTTGTCATACTCCCCTGACCCCAAAGAAATATCACGTAGTAATGCAGGAATGTTTAGAGGTGAAATGGTTTGATTTTGAGAGCTATAACCACATTGGTATAGATTAATCCATTTGATGGACTTATAATTTGAATTACTAAGCAGTAATTATAGGCAGGTGTGTTGTGACTGGAGGAGGTAAGTCACTGAGGGCATGCCCTGTAAGGGTTTATCTTCTCTGTGGGCTCTTCCCTGCTGCCCTTCCCTCTGCTTCCCTCCTTCCTGGCGGGCATTTTTCCTCTGCCAAGCCCCTCCCTCATGAAGTTCTGCCTCAACTAGGGCCCAGAGCAATGGAATTAGCTGACCACGTACTGAACCTCTGAAACCATGAGCCCAGATTAAACTTTTTCTCCCCTAACTAGTTCTTATCAGGTATTTTGGTAACAGTGATGAAAAACTGACTACACAGCATGCCTTAGTACAGTTCCATGGACTCTCATTCTGTTGTGATTTGTCACATTGTTTTTTATACCAAAAAATTAAAACTAGTGAATAAGATCTATGTTAACTCAACATGGAAAGACTTTGTCAAAGCTACTTTTTCCTTTTACCACTTTGTTACATTTGAAAATATCTTAACAGTCAATGTATTTTTTTAAAATTTTTTTTAGTTGTATATGGACTCAGTGCCTTTATTTGTTTTTATGTAGTGCTAGGATTGAACTCAGTGCCTCACACTCGAGAGGCAAGTGCTCAGCCACTGAGCTACAACTCAAGCCCACAGTCAATATATTTTAATAACTATTTAACGAGCAATTGATTTTACACTTCTCCAAACTTGTCAGCATCCTTACATTTTTTTTTTCAACATGGGCTAGCGTACAAAGTGTTTTTAGTTTGTTTTTTTTGGGGGGGGGTACTGAGGATTGAACCCAGGGTACCTTACCACTGAGCTATATTCCCAACCTTTTTACTTTTTATTTTGAGACAGGATCTCACTCAGTTTTCCAGGCTAATACACTACCATGCCCAACTGCATAGAAATAGGTCTTCAGGAGCTGTTGTTTTTATCTTCTCTGAGTCAGAGTACTCCATAAAAATACAACCTAAGTTCTTTTTTTTAACCTGCTTTCAGGCCTATGTACATAAAAGTGTGATGGAGGAATTGAAGAGAATAATTGATGACAGTGAAATTACCAAAGAGGATGATGCTTTGTGGCCTCCTCCTGACCGAGTAGGCCGGCAGGTGTGTATTTTATTGACTGTCCTTGTAATACAGAATTCTTACAAAAAAGATGACATTTACTGCACTGCTTAATGTGTGCATGCATATGTGCATGTTACTGAGCCTTGCATGAAACAGATAACTAGCATTTTGTCTAAGAAAACATTAATTCCAGAGAGAGGACCAGAGACAGCAAGTGGTGTTGCAGGCTACCCAGAGCCCAGCCCTGAATTGCTTCTTGTGATCTCCCCTCTTAGCCCTTTTGCTCTCTATCTCACATATTGAGTAACTTCTCTGAACGAAGCATGTGGGGATATAGAGATAAATAAAAATAGTTATTTCACAACCTAATGGAAGGAAATCATGCAAGTGACTATATGTATTTAAATTCATGACACGTGTGTGTATGTGTGTGTGTGTGTGTGTATAAAATTCTTAAGATTGTTTTGGGAATTAAAAAAATAAGAGCCATTGTCTTATTTAACTGAATTAACCAAAAATATATTTTTACCTTGACTGCAGCCATCATAGTCCAGATTTCTAATTGATTTCCTCATCTTGTACAGCCCACATTTCCATCCTAAAATCTTGTGATCTTTAAAAATGTAAATTTGTTTGTGTATTCCACTGATTTTTATGATGCTCTACAAATGAATTATTATCCCTAGCCCCTGAGAATACTGTTAGCCTACTTTTAGGAATTTTCCTAGGGAAATTTTCACAAACCTGCAAGGAAATACATAGAAGAATTTTGTCACATTGTTTTTTATACCAAAAAAAAATTTAAAACTAGTGAATAAGATCTATTCTAACTCAACATGGAAAAATCTAAAAAGCAATATTGAATGGAAAAAGTAAAAAGATACATATGTAGTATGACCACATAAAATAAATTTAAAACATACTACCAAATCTAAAATCACAAATAGAAAGAATACACTACAGCTTTAGGGGACAGAGGAAGGAGAAAGAATGGGAGATGGCACCAGATATGGTGGTACATGCCTGTAATCCCAGCACCTGGTGGAGGCTGAGGCAGGAACAGCATAAGCTCAAGGCCAGCCTCCACAACTTAGTGAGACCTAAAATAAATAATTTTTTTTTTTTTCAAAAAATAAAAAGGACTAGGATGTAACTCAGTGTCAAGGCACCCTTGGATTCAATCCCTAGTACCAAAAGAAGAAAAAGCATGGAAGATAGATTTTTTTAATACTTATTTTTTTAAAAAGAAGGTGGGAAAAAAAGGTCTCACTGGAAGAATATAAGTTCTTCAAAGACAGAGTTATGTGTTTAGTTTGGTTTTATTAATCTGTCCTAAGCATGAAGAACAATAACGTGGCAAAGAGGAGGCAATCATATAGATAGTTTGAAGGTTTATGGTATTTGTGTCACTGTTTACAAATTGAAACCCAAGGTCATACAGCTAGTAAGTAGCAAAGCTGAGGTCAAACCCAAGATCTAGGATAATTTTCCTTGTTCCATGTTGCCCAGAAAGGTTGGATACCAGATCTATCCACGTCACTTCACAAAGTGGTATGTAAATTTAAATCTCACATGATTGTCCTTGAAGACACTACTCTCTCTAGGCAGATGAGTTTCTCAAGAGCTTATCTAGAATCATCTCTATTTCCATCACAGTTTAATGCTTAAAATAAGGTACTTTTTCTATGTGGGCATCTATAGTAGAGTTGAGTGATTTGGAAGTAGTGAGCCCCTTCCTTGTACTTGATGAACATTTCAGCTCTGCCCAACTTAGATTTTTTAAATGTTTCTAGGAGCTTGAAATCGTCATTGGAGATGAACACATTTCTTTCACAACATCAAAAATTGGTTCCCTAATTGATGTTAATCAATCTAAGTAAGTATGTATGATCCTTTTATCCATTATGTCTATCTTAGAGTAGATTAATAAGAAACTTGAACCAAATTGGGACCATTATGGGAAGATCTGGTGCAATTGCAAGACAGAACCAGGCAACTTTGTCCCCTTCATTAGAAAAGGACTCCACATTATAGTCATTTCACAGTATCCACAGGGGATTGGTGCCAGGACCACTATAGACACCAAAACTGTGGTTGATTAAGTCTCATATAAAATGGTTTAACACATTCATATAGCTTATGTACATCTTCATGTATACTTTAAATCATCTCTAGGTTACTTATAATACCTAATACAGGGTTGGGGTTATGGCTCAGTGGTAGAGCGCTTGTCTAGCATATGTGAGGCACTAGGTTCAAGCCTCAGCACCACATAAAAATAAATGAATAAAGGTCTATCAACAACTAAAAAATATATATTAAAAAAATACCTAATACAGGATAAATGCTATGTAAATAGTTGTTATACTGTATTGTTTAAGGAATAATGAGAAAAAAAATCTGCTATTATAGGCCTAAATACATTTTGATCCATGTGTGGTTTGGACCCATGAATGATAAAGATCCTCTGTAGATTTGGGCCAACTGTATTTTTAAAGGCTAGTTCTGTTACTTTTTGTGTATCAGTCATTGATACTAAAACTTTCTCAGTCTCTCTCTCTCTCTCTCTCTCTCTCTCTCTCTCTGTCACACACACACACACACACACAAAGTAATGCATCAAAGCAGCCAGAATAGAAAATTAAGTACGCATGAAGAAGTTCTTGAAATAAACTGTACCATATCCGAGTCTGAGAAGCTTTCTCAGTCACTGTTGACCATTCACCCCAGCACCTCTTTAAGTGTTGATTAAATTTGAAATCTCTTAATATCTAAATTTAAAAATTTATATTGTCATTGGGGCAAATTACAATGTTGCAATACATATCTATATGCTTTAAAGGGTCTAGAATCCAACAACCTGTTTGACTCCTGTGTTTTAAGGATTTGGAATTAGCTATGGATCACTGTTAGTAAATGTTGGGTTTAATTGTCTTCCTTCAGTATTTTTGTTCTTAAATATTGATGCCTAGTAATATTCAGCCTCTTGGTCCTGCTTAGTACCACTTTAAAAAAAGGGAAGGAGGTTGTTTCTAATTCTGAAAGCAATACATGTTCATTGTAGAAAGCACAGGAAATATATAAAAAATAGAAAAGAAGGAAAAAAATTTCCCGTAATCTTAGATAACCATTGTTAATATCTTGAAATGTATCTTTTTAGTCTTTTGCTGTGTGTGTACATTAAAAAATACAGTTTTTGAAAAGCATAAAAAATATTGAAATGTTATATTAATCATGATTTGGGGGTGGGAGGGGTACTGGGGATTGAACTCAGGGGTGCTCGACCACTGAGCCACATCCCCAGCCCTATTTTGTATTTTATTTAGAGACAGGGTCTCACTGAGTTGCTTAGTGCCTCGCTTTTGCTGAGACTGGCTTTGAACTCACAATCCTTCTTCCTCAGCCTTCTGAGCCACTGAAGGAAGGAAATATCAAGCCGGGTGTGATGACACATGCCTATACTCCTAGCAGCTCAGGAGAGTGAGGCAGGAGGATCATAAGTTCAAAGCCAGCCTCAGCAAAATCGAGTCACTAAGCAACTCAGTGAGACCCTGTCTCTAAATAAAATACAAAATAGGGCTGGGGGTGTGCCTTAGTGGTTGAGTGCCCCTGGGTTCAATCCCTGGTACCCCCCTCCCCCAAAAAACAACATATTTAAATGCCCTCATAATATTTCATTTTAATATTTGTAATATTTTTTTGGGTTTTAGGCTGTTCAAAGGTTTAATGCTTCATAAGAAGCATTTTGGTAGATAAGTAATCAGGTTATTAATTGGGTTATGTTTTGGAGGGATTTTTTTGCCAGTTTTTCTCAGCATTTTAATTTTTTTCCCCTCTTACATTTTAGGGATCCAGAAGGCTTACGAGTATTTTATTATCTTGTCCAGGACCTGAAGTGCTTGGTCTTCAGTCTTATTGGATTACACTTCAAAATTAAACCAATTTAAATGAAATATTAGTATGGACCTGAGGGGGGTGGAAGTAGTTGTTTTTAATTACCACTATCAGGAGATTTTTGTGTATATCAAGGCAGTATTTTTTTTATAAACTGTAAATGATTGTCTTTAATAAATATGTGATAAAATCCAATTTTTTATTTTATAAAAACCTGAACATATGAGTATTCCTCGGTTACTTTGTAAAACACCAACATTACCAAAATATCTAACAATTCTCTGGAAACTACCATTTACAGGAAACAAGTAAATGGAGAAAAAAAGTTTAAAAACAGTAAGAATCCAGTTAATAATATTCAGAGGAAAAGGAATTCTTGAACAAATGATCTAGCTTCTTAAATAAGTTGCAAGAGCTGGGCACTGTGGCGCACGATTATAATCCCAGCGATTTGAGAGGCTGAGGCAGGAGGATTGTGAGTTCAAAGCCAGCCTAAGCAATGGCAAGGTGCCAAGCAACTCAGTGAGACCCTGTTCAAAGATTTTAGGGATCCAGAAGGCTTATGATAAAATAATACAATAAGGTATTTAAATAAAATACAAAAAGGTCTGGGAATATGGCTCAGTGGTCGAGTGCCCCTGAGTTCAATTCCTGGTACCAAGAAAAATAATAAATTGCAAGAAAAACAAGACATGGAACAAAAATGCATAAAGGAGATTTTAAAAGACACATTAATTGCTGGGTGTAGTTTAGTGGTAGAGTGCTTGCCTAATATCCATAAGGACCTGGATTCATTACCTAGCACTACCAAAACAAAAAACCCCACAGTCCATGCAATGTATGGATTATTTGGATCATGACCCAAATTGACATTAATGAGGAAATTTGAACATTGGTATTTGAAGACAATAATGAAGTAGTGTTAATTTTTTAGGTATGAAATTGTGGTTGGGGCTGGGTTCAGTGGCACACACCTGAAATCCCAGCAGCTTGGGAGACTGAAGCAGGAGAATCGTGGGTTCAAAGCCAGCCTCAGCAAAAGCAAGGCACTAAGCAA